GAGTTTGCTCACCGTTTTGATGCCGGTGCATCCGATGCCACAAACCGTGGATGGACTAGACTGGCATGTGACTCATAAGGAGCGAATGGTGAAACAGCTATTGCCGAGCGAAAAAGACCTGAAGACTTGGGACTTAATTGTCGATCGCTATCCTGGAGCATTCGGTTCTGGATCTGATGACCCAGATTCAATTGGGCTGAGCGGTGACCTGTGGGTAATGTTGCCGGTTGAGGCGAGCGATGTTCGGTTGATGTGGGATGCGACCGGCATGCATAAAGATCATGCTGAATCGGGGTACAAACTCATTGAAAAATATGATGATCTCAAAGTGCAATTCAAGTTGTTGAAGTTTAAGTCAGGAATGTTCAGCAAAGCGTTTTGGATCATGAACAACGAAATAATGTTCGGGCGTGACCGTGTTGCGAATGCTGGCTTTTTTTGTGTCCGGAGCCTTCTAGATGTTCCCAAAGTAATTGATGGATTTAGTGTGGGTGACCTAAGTCCAAAAGCGACCGCAGCAGAGGCGTCAGCATCTTTCACGATTGGCTAAAGGGAGCCGAGGTTCAGGGCAGTGCCCGCGTGGTGGAGCGGCAAGACACGCCGTCGCAAGATGGTATTCGCGGGTTCGTGTCCCGCCGCGGGCCTGTCCTGGATGCAAATGAAACTGTGACTCATAAGGAACCCATGCCGTTGGACGCTGATCTGGGCTTTATTCTTTTTTTGTTCGGGCCGTATCTTTTTTTTGGCACTGGATATCTGGTGGGTGTTTTCTGGCCCCGTAGACCAATCGGCACCATAAATAGAGTAATTTCCGTTTTCGGTTTCCCGATATCATTTTTGTCTATTTTGTATTTAAGCTTGTCTATCATTCCATTCACAAATGGCCCGAATACGCTTGGGCTAGGATACGCGTTTTTAACTCCATTGATTTCTTTGTGTAGCCCGTTGATTGCTCATGCAGGCTGGATCACTGGTCGACTAGCAAAGGATTCTTACTTTCCAAAAGCTGCACATGAACCCAACTCAATGGTTTACGAGGTAGAGCGCTCCCAAGATATGGATTGGAATGATGCACGTTACCCATTCCGTGTGATGAATGTCGGTGACCAAGCAGAATTCACCGGATATCGCCCTGACATAGCAATCAAACATGCTTCAAAATGGGAAAAGAAGCTGCGTGTCAAGCTTGTGTCGATACCCTCTTACGAAGAGGACTGTGTGATAATTGAACGTGTCAACTGAGGAGCGGTTCTGCTTACGTTGAAGATGGTGCAGTGGACATAGCAAAAGAAATATTTTTTATGGAATAACGGGTTTAAGGTATTGTAAAGTTATAAGAAAAATTACTTCGAAGCCCTCACGGCCGCACCATTCATTTGGCCGGTTCTTCCTTGTTAAGCCTTCCACAACTTCGTCATTTGGTGCAGCCTTGCGATTGTTTGTTGACCGGTATTTCGAGTTTCCGAAAGTTTCGCAGCATGATGACCTCTTGCCACCAGTGGTCTGAAAATCAGGTCGGGGTTGTGCGTTTGCGCGGCGAGTGTTGAACTGTGCTGTGGATCTTTGTGGTTGCCGGGCTACTCAGGGCAGGCTCATGCGGGCTACTTTGGATTTGTATTGTTTCAATTCCGAGAAATGTCCGGGTAAGCGTTGAAGAACCTTGATTTCAAACCTCCCTGGCGGACCTATCAGCAAAGAGTTCTTGATGAGCTGACGTCCCATCTCGATGACGCGCAGCTTCATGTTGTTGCCGCGCCGGGGTCCGGCAAAACCGTCCTCGGACTGGAAGTCATGCGCAGGCTTGCAAAGCCTGCAATTGTCTTTGCGCCGTCACTTGCGATCCGGAACCAATGGAAAAACCGACTTGTTGACCTGTTTCTTGAGGACGGGGCGGACCAGAGCTGGATCTCATTGGATGTCAGGCGGCCGAAGTTGCTCACCATCACGACCTATCAGGGGTTTCATGCCGTGCTTGCCGGTGCGGTCGATGAAGAAACCAGCGAGGCGGTTGATACCGCGAACCTGGATCTGGTCAGTCACTTCAAGGATGCCGGCGTTGGCACCCTGATCTTCGATGAGGCGCATCACCTGCGCAAGGACTGGCAGAGATCTCTTGTCGATCTGAAGAATGCATTGTCGAGTGATGTGACAACAGTTGCCCTGACAGCCACGCCTCCCTACGACGTCAGCGCTTCGGAATGGGCAAATTATGAAGATCTGTGCGGTCCAATCGATTGCGAGATCTCGGTTCCCGAACTGGTCAGGGCCGGTGATCTTTGTCCGCATCAGGACCTCATCTGCCTGTCCTCGCCGACTTCCTCCGAAACGGACTTCATCGACGCATTCTGGAACAGCCTGAATGCCTTTGCGCATGCGCTGTTGAAGGATGTGACATTTCTTTCGTGCCTTGAAAACATTCCCTGGTTTTCAGCGCCTTTCGAACACGAAGACGAGATTTTTTCGAATTCTGCCTTCTTTATTGCAGCACTGGTTTTTCTGAAGGCAGCAGGAAGACCTGTTCCCGGGGACGCGCTTGCGTTGTTTGCAACAGCCAACAAGGATCTGCCTGCACTGGATCGCCAGTTTCTGGAAACCCTGGTCACCGGCATTACGTCCGGGGACGCGTCAAAGTGGTTCGAAGACAATGGGTTAAGGCAGAAGATCCTGAAGGACCTTCGATCCTTCGGAGCGTTGCGGCGCGGAAAACCCATGCTGGCCCAGGTGGAGGAAATCGACCGGTGCCTGAGAAACAGTCTCGGCAAGATCCAGAGCATTCAATCCATTGTCGCAGCGGAAAGCTCCGGTCTCGGGCAAGCGCTGCGCATGGTGGTGCTTACGGACTACATTTACCGCGATCTGGCACCGTCGCCGGGACAACACCATTATGAACCGGTAAAGATCGGAGCGGTTCCGCTTTTCGAGATGCTTCGGGAGAAGGGCGACTATATCTACAAGGTCGGATTGCTCACCGGCTCCCTGGTGATTTTGCCTGTCGACGCCGTTCCATTGTTTGAGACCGCTGCGGCCCAGAAGGGTATTCGAAAACAGGATTTCAAACTCCGATCCTTGCCACACGATGCTGACTACGCCGAGATCGATCTGAAATCGCGTTTCCGACACGAAATCGTTCACCTTGTGACCGAGGTTTTTGAAAAGGGGGGCGTTACGATCCTCGTCGGAACACAGGCACTCTTGGGTGAGGGATGGGATGCGCCTTGCATCAACAGTCTGGTGCTTGCCACCACGGTCGGCTCGTTCATGCTGTCCAACCAGATGCGGGGACGGGCAATCCGGATTGACCCTGACAAGCCGAACAAGACCGCGAACATCTGGCATCTGGCGTGCGTGAACAGCCTAGAAAAGCAATTTTCACTGGATGGTGTGCAGAGAGACATCCGTTCCCTCAACCCGCTCAAGACGATGACACCCACTCCTGGCTACCTGAGCAGGCTGCTGGGTGATGATTGGGATGATCTGTGTCGCCGGTTCCGGGCATTCGAGGGACTGAGTGTTGCAGATCCGCCCTACATTGAAACGGGCATGGGCCGCATGGCTTTTCCCGCATCCGGCTGGACCAGCGAGACCCCGGACCAGCAGAATGCGGGGGCATTTACCAGATGCGCGAACCGGGACCTGCTTTATGAGCGATGGCACAAGGCTCTGGAGAACTTTGGAGACAAAGCCCTCCTGAAACGCATGGTAACAGTGCGCAGGGCTCCTCAGACCTGGGTCTACCGGAGCAACATCGGATCGCTTGGATTGGGGGCACTTCTAGGAGCGGTATTTCTCGCGATTTTGCCACACAAGGATCAACCACCAGGTTTCACCGCATTCTTGGGTCTGGCTTTTGTCGTGGTGTTTTTCCTGGTGCTGAAAATGGGAGGCAACCCTTTGCGCACGGTTCGCCTGACCATTCAAAACAGAACCCTGCGCGGAAACCTGGCACAACTGGGTCAGGCCGTCCTGGAGACGATGATCCACACCGGCGACATCAAGACGCCTCAGGAGAAACTGAAGCTCAGCGTCAGAGCGCATCATGGTGACTATTTTTGTACGGTCGAGGGCGCTGATGCCAAGGAATGTGCCTTGTTTCTGGACGCCATGAAGCAATTGCTGGGGCCAATTGAAAATCCAAAATACATGATCGTTCGCCGTGTCGGCCTCTTCGGCCAGAAGACAGTCGACTACCACCCGGTTCCGGACAGGATCGCCAGAAAGAGGGCGTTTGCGGAGGTGTTTCTGGAACGCTGGACTGATCTTGTTTCGTCCGCCGATCTTGTTTCGGTCAGGTCGAAAGAAGGGCGCAGAATTCTCCTGCAAGCACGTGCTGATGCATATGCGTCACATTTTGTGCCTCATGCGGAGCTATTGGGTCGCTGGGAGTGATTTTCCGGTGAGCGCTTTCTCTCCGTGTTTGGAGTTTCAGTGCCCTTGGAAAAACTGAGTTGTTTCCCGACAATTGCCGTCAATCAAGCTTGAAGAATTTTGCAACAAGTCAGGCCAATGATGCCCACCAGAGTCTTCTCCTCATCAAGACGTACCGCTTCCGGCTGGTTCTTCACAATTGGTCTGGCTCATTTTGTTCTGCTTGCGCCAGTCTCGTCACAGGCCTTTGCTACCGATCCGGGCCGGTTCGGTGCGATGACCTGTCAGCAACTTTGGTTTGTCGAGCAAAAGACACTGGCTGAGGGCAGGGTGTGCCTGAAGAGCACGCGCGCGAAACGCGCCTTCAGTCGGGCGGATCGCTGCATTTCGTCCAGCGAAGCCATCTTGCCGAAGAAGACGCAGGACTATCTGACACAGCTCAGGAACGCAGCGCGCAGCAAGTCTTGCGCCGGATATTGAACTATTCAGACCGCTTTGAAAAACTGCTTAAAAGTCGCTCCGGCCAAAACGGGGAGCGCCTGTGGACCGGTGCCGCATTTGCTGTGGCGCTTTGTACCGGTAAAGGCTAGTTCTGGACAGCAGCAACGGGTAATTCAGATCGAGGGAGGCAATGGATGAGCGAAGCGGCCGAGCTTGACGTCACGCCTTCTCCGGAACCCGTAATCCCCGTGCGCGACGAGGACGAGCATCTCAATCCGGACTTCATCGCTGCTGTCGAGGCGGCGATCGGAGGAGATGACAGGGTTGCGCTGAAAGAGCTTGCCGGCGATCTGCACGAGGCTGACACCGGCGACCTTCTGGAAACGCTCAATGCCGATGAACGCGCCGCCTTTATCCGATTGCTGGGGGACGAGTTCGACTATACGGCGCTGACTGAGACCGACGAAGCCGTTCGCCTACAGGTTCTGGAAGACCTGCCCAACGAGGTCATTGCAGAAGGTCTGGAAGACCTTGATTCCGACGATGCCGTCTACATTCTGGAAGACCTGGATGAAGACGATCAGGCGGCAATCCTGGAAGAACTGCCCTATGCCGACCGTGCGCAGCTCAAGAAAGCACTTGATTATCCCGAAGAAAGCGCCGGCCGGCGCATGCAGAGCGAATTCATCGCCGTTGCGCCATTCTGGACCGTCGGACAGACCATCGACTACATGCGGGAAGCTCGGGACCTTCCGGACAGCTTCTACGAAATCTATGTCCTGGATCCGGCCTTCAAGTTGCTGGGGTCTGTTCACCTGGACAAGATCCTGAGGACCAAACGTGCCGAGAAGGTCACCTCGATCATGGAGGAGACGCGGCAGGCGGTGCTGGCAACGGAGGACCAGGAAGAGGTCGCCCGACGATTCGAGCGCTACAATCTGGTCTCCTCTGCTGTGGTTGACGAAAACGAACGCCTGGTCGGTGTTCTGACGGTTGACGATATCGTCGACGTGATTCAGGAAGAGGCGGAAGAGGACCTGCGTGCCCTGGCCGGGGTGGGCGATGAAGAGATTTCCGACACGGTCGTCACGATTGCGCGCTCGCGTCTTGCGTGGCTGGTGGTCAATCTCGGAACCGCGATTCTCGCATCCGTGGTGATCGCACTTTTTGAGGACACGATCGAGGCGATGGTCGCCCTCGCGGTCCTGATGCCTATCGTGGCGTCCATGGGCGGGAATGCCGGAACCCAGACAATGACGGTGGCCGTGCGCGGCATCGCGACACAGGAATTGGGCGCCCGGAACCTTTTGCGCGTCCTCAACCGTGAAATCCTGGTGAGTGCGGTGAACGGTGTCGCCCTGGCGCTGTTGATCGGCATAACCGCCTGGCTCTGGTTTGCAAGTCCTGGTCTCGGTGTGGTGATTGCCGGCTCAATCATCATCAACATGCTTTTTGCCGGGTTTTCCGGCCTGCTGATCCCGATTGCGCTTGACCGGCTGAACGTCGATCCTGCGATTGCTTCGAGCGTATTCGTCACGACGGTCACCGATGTCGTCGGGTTTTTTGCATTTCTGGGGATTGCAGCGCTCTGGTTCGGGTTACCGTTCTAGTCTCCAGAACCTGATTTCCGTCAGCTCGATGCGGCTGCTCGCAGATTGTCACGCAGCTTCATGATCCTGCTTTGCAGATCCATGACCTCTTCCATGCTGGTCCCCGTGGACGAGAGGACGCAAGTGCCGAAATGCCCGGTTTTTTTCTGAAGTGCCCGACCCTTGCGGGTGAGTTTGAGAATGACCTGGCGCTCGTCCTTCGTGTTGCGCGTCCGCGTCACCAGACCCATCGCTTCCAGTCGCTTCAGCAATGGTGTCAGCGTATTGGTATCCAGTTGCAGTTTGGTGGTGATTTTTCCTACCGGCACGTTGTTGGTTTCCCAAAGCACGGTCATGGCAAGGAATTGGGGGTAGGTGAGCCCAATCTCCTTCAGCAATCCCTTGTAGACGCCGTGCATGGCATGGTTCGCCGAGTAAAGGGCGAAACAAAGATACCGATCCAGCGGCAATGGCGCCGTTGCATCCGGAATGTCGTCGTCAACAGCTGAAGAAACCGTTCCGTCGGTTCGTTCAGTTTTCCCCGACGCGTTCTCCTGGACCTCTTCAATGGGGTCCGGATCAGCACCGGACTTCCTGGAGGTTTTCGTGCGCACGGGTCGCTTGCGCGATGGCTGTCCTGAAGATGCTTTCGCTTTTTCAGACGTGTCATTTTTGGGTTTTTTGGTCTCTTCGGGCGCGGAAATACCGATCGCGTCCAACAGAGACATCTGATCTGTCGTCTCACTCATTCGAAACTTATAAGTCGTGCGCGATATGATCGCAACATGTTGACGCTATCGCAGCCCCAGTATATGTGTGTAAATTATATCGTGCACGATATAAGTTGAAAATATCCTGATAAAAAATGTCTGTTTTTCAGACTGATAAGGAGAAACGAGATGACGGTGGAAGTTCTCTATGAGACCCGGGCGCGGGCCACGGGCGGGCGTGACGGAAAGGCCGAAACCCTGAGCGGATCGTTCAAGGTGGATCTGACGACTCCAAAGGAACTCGGTGGTGCCGGCGGCGCCGGCAACAATCCCGAGGAGTTGTTTGCGGCCGGTTATGCGGCCTGCTTCATCGGCGCGTTGAAATTTGTCGGCGGACAGGAAGGTGTCGCAATACCAGCCGGCACATCAATAACTTCGACGGTTGGAATCGGACCGCGATCCGAGGGCGGTTTCGGTCTGGAAGTTGCGCTTGAAATTTCACTTCCGGGTCTGGACGGTCAGGTGAAAGAGGACCTTGTTGCCAAGGCGCATCAGGTCTGTCCGTATTCGAATGCGACCCGCAACAACATCAATGTCAAACTGACAGTCGTGTAACGGCTCTCCCGAATGACGGGTATTCGACAACGTCCCGCATATCCGCGGGGCGTTGAGCTAAGTTCTCCGTTGATCTCATCCCAGATATTCCAGACAGGAGTCAAATTTGTCGCCGACCGCGGCATGATAGACCCACAGTTACAATGAGTTGACCGTGAAGGAGCAGGGATTTGTCGGTGAACGCGGCGGGTGAGGCGGAATCCGGCCCGCTGCGGCACCAGTTCGACCGCTTGATGAAGCCGGCGTTCAGCGGCTCTTCCATCAGTTCTGATGGTGGTCTGTTGCTTCACCGCGTACTTGAAGATGCCCTTGGTCTGACTCACAAGGCAGCCGGTTGCCTCATTGATCCAACTGCATCTCAAAGGCTTAATGATAGGTGCCGCTTCGGGAAATCGCTGAGAAGATGTCGAAGCTCAACGCGCGCTGGTTTTGGCGATTTGCAGCAAAGCCGGGGCATCACGCGCTTAGTACTTGTGGACACGGACCTGACCCGTCGAAAGGCAAGGTAACAGGATTGAGTGACCGTATTTCCGGCGACAACTGCGCCAAAGACGCTCCAGATAGGGGATATCGTTTCTAATCAAGCAAACCGACATTTCGAGCATGCACCGCGCCAATGCCAACCCCGGCAAATGAACGCACACTGCACATCCGATGTGCAGACTGCGCTAAAAAAGGCAGGTCTGCTGCAACGGAGCATCCCCACAATGCCGTGATTGGTAGTTTCACAGCTAACGATCCGGTTGGCATGGGTGTTGCTTGATCCCCGTAGTTTCAACACCGGGGAAGGGGCTCCCATGTCAGAGCAGGTAAAGTTGGTCGTGCCATTTGATGGCTAACGTCAGATTTTTCGAAATTTATCGTAATCCTGAGTATCTTTGGCTGCTTGCGCAAGGCGCCATAGTCAGTGCAATTCTGACAGTGGGCGGTGGTATCTGCGGTTTTGTTTTTGCCATTGTATTGGCTGCTCTACGGCACTACCAAATGCCGATTCTGGCGCAGCTAGCGGCCTGTTATGTAGAGTTTATCCGCAATACACCCTTGATTGTGCAGATGTTCTTCATCGCTTTCGGCCTGCCGTTGCTCCTCGGCTATCAATGGCCTTTCTGGGCGCATGCGCTTTTGGCACTGACGATCAATTTTTCAGCCTATTTTGCGGAAATCCTACGCGCGGGACTGGCATCTATCGGGAGTGGCCAGAGCGAAGCCGCGGATGCATTGGGGCTTCCACGCTGGTTGAGTTTTCTGAAGATCAGCCTGCCTCAGGCCGTTGCCGCCATGTACCCGTCGCTGAACAGTCAGTTCATCTTCCTGTTTCTGACAACGGGGGTCATTTCGGAAATTGGCGTCACCGACTTGACCTGGGCGGGCCTTTTCATCGACAGCCGTAGCTTCCGGTCTTTTGAGGTGTTTTTCACGCTGACGCTGATCTACCTGCTGATGTCGCTGATGTTCAAGAGTGGTCTTGTCCTGCTTCACGACCGTCTTTTCAAATGGAAGGCAGACCGATGAAGGAAGTCTTTGTCGAGATCCTGGGAAAACCGTTTGGGATCGTCGTTTTTCAGCTTCTGGATGCGACCCAATTCACTATCTATCTTTCGCTTGTTGCATTTGTTGGCGGCGGTTTGATCGGGCTGGGTGTGACTGCCGCGCGGGTGTCGCCGATCGGCATCTTGGACAAGACCTTTACGGCTTACACTTGGTTGTTTCAGTCCGTGCCACTTCTGATGCTGCTGTTTCTTCTGGGACTGGGCGTGCCACACTTGTTCGAAATACAAGTAGATCCCTGGTATGCCGCCGGCTTTGCCTTGACCCTTTACACCAGCGCTTACCTCTCGGAGGTTTGGCGTGGAGCGATAACAGCTATTCCAATCGGCCAGCACGAAGGTGGCAAAGCGCTCGGACTGACGTTCACTCAAATCATGATCCTTCTGATCTTGCCTCAGGCAATCCGTCTGGCAATTGCGCCAACTGTCGGATTCATGGTGCAGATCATCAAGGGGACTTCGCTGGCATACATCATCGGTTTTCACGACCTGATGACCGTCGGCAGAAGGTGGGCAAATGCACCGGTGCCGGGCACGCAGCCGTTCTTGATATATCCGCTCATGGCGATGATTTATTTCTCGCTCTGCTTTCCGTTGTCCGTGTGGAGTCGTCGCCTTGAAAAGCGTCTGGGGTCCACATCGTCAAAGGGTGGGGCTGCTGCCGCCGCCTGAAAACTAGCGCTTTCTAAACAACTTTATGGAGGTTGCGCAATGTTGAAGAGAAGTATGGGTTTTTTGGGGGCGGCGTTTGTTGCCGCATCGATGCTGATGGGTCCCGCGTCCGCAGAACTGAAGGATATTCTGGAAGCGGGGACGATAAAGATTGCAACGCCTGAAAATTTTCCACCCTTTGGTGCGCTTGGCGCGGATGGCGAATATGTAGGGTACGACATCGATGTCGCCAAAATGATCGCGGAAGACCTTGGCGTAGAACTGGAACTGGTTCCGGTTACGTCCAAGCAGCGGATCCCGTTTCTTGAAACCGATCGCGTTGATTTGGTTATCTCGACACTGGGTGCCAACCCTGAACGCGCCAAATCGATCTGGTTTTCACACGCCTATGCGCCGTTCTTTTCTGGTGCCTTTGCCAAGAAAGATGTTGAAGTTTCTTCGATCGCCGACTTTGCCGGCAAAAAGATAGCTGTCACGGGCGGGACACTCGAAGACCTGGCCATTACCGAAGATGCACCGGAACGCTCGGAAATAATCCGGTTCGGTGACAACGCGGCAACCATCGCGGCCTATGTGTCCGGCCAAACGGATGTAATCGTGACAGGCAATATGGTCGCACTAGGTATTTCGAACGACAATCCCGATTTCGATCTTGAGACAAAGTTCGTCATCGCGAATTCGCCGTCTTATATTGGCGTGAAAACCGGCAACATTGACCTGCTTCAGTGGGTCAATGTGTTTGTTCTGCACAAGAAGCTGAACGGCAAGTTGAATGGGCTCTCCGAGAAGTGGCTCAAGACGCCATTGCCGCCTCTTCCAGCACTCTGACAAAGCCTGGATTTCAACTACGAAAGCGCGCAGCAATCCGTTGCGCGCTTTTTTGCATTGAACCAACTTTGCGCAATTTCGCTTCCAAGTTTCGCGCGATGCTGAGATCACGGCGATGGAATGCCCGAATTCGAACCTTATGCAGAAAACGACTTTCAGGAGCTGTCAGACACATTGTGAGGTCTTTGCCTGATGCCTGATGCCTGACAAAGATGGTCATCGCCACGTCTTTTCCAGGATTTGGCTACCAAAGAAACCATTCGATTTAAGTCGTCACCCAGGCGAGGACGAGCTGTACCCCAAAGACCGACCTTACATTTCCTGGATCGCAACCCTAACCCGCATGGCTTTCCCGCCCTGCGATATGTAGGGTCTGGCGGAAAAATTCTGGTTCATACCTTCTCAAGAGACCAGGAGCGACATGATAGTGTCGAAACAGCACGAAAGATCGAACGGACACCATGACCCGCAAACCGCCTGCCATTGCCGGCATTCTGGAAACCGCCGTCTATGTTGATGACATGGAAGCCGCACATACTTTTTACAGCAATGTCCTGGGCCTGGAACGTATGGTGGCCGGTGACAGGCTCTTTGCCTATAACGCAGGCCCGGCCCAGACGTTGCTCGTCTTTCATCGCGGCCATACCGGGGAAGATGTTGCGACGCCGGGTGGGGTCGTCCCCGGGCACGATACGGCCGGGCATGGTCATTTTGCGTTTCATATTTCGACGGATGAGTTACAGGTCTGGCGCGAATACCTGAAGCATCATGACGTTTCGGTCATCAGCGAAGTCGTCTGGCCTGCCGGTGGAACGAGCCTTTATTTCAAGGATCCCGACGGCAACATCCTTGAATTGGCTGCACCGCCGCTCTGGCCGAATTTTCTATCGTGAATTTTAAGAAATTTCCGGCAAGTTCGTGTCGCCTAGGGTGTGGGTGGCAATATGAAGTTCTTGCAGGCAATTTTTCGCACGGTGTTCTACGTTGTGGTCGGAGGCGTTATTTCGATCGCAGGAGCAGCGTTTTTTTTCATGAACTGGGAACCGGACCGGGACGAATTTCCGAAACGCGGCATCGACGTTTCACATCATCTCGGTGAAATCGACTGGAACAAGGTTTCTGCTGACGATGTCGCCTTCGTCTACATGAAGGCCAGCGAAGGCGGTGACTTCAAGGACAGTGCGTTTGTGCAGAACTGGGCTGGTGCCGGAGCGGCCGGACTGGCCAGAGGTGCCTATCATTATTTCAGCCTGTGCAAGCCGGGGCAGGAACAGGCGGAAAACTTTCTGAGTGTGCTGCCGGATGACCCACAGATGCTGGCGCCGGTCCTGGATCTGGAATTTACCGGAAACTGCACCAAGCGCCCGCCGGTAGACGAGGTTCTTCAGGATATTTCGGATTTCGTTACCCTGGTTGAACGATCGGCAGGAAAACAGGTCATTTTTTATGCGCCGGAAGAGTTTTTCCGGACCTACCTCAAGGGACAGGGTTTGAACCGGCGTTTGTGGACCCGCTCGATCTGGCACTCGCCGTCCTACACCAAGGACTGGATCCTCTGGCAGTATCAGGACAGCGGAACGATTGAAGGCATTTCAGGCAATGTCGATATGAATGTGCTGAACGCTGATTTGACCATTGATGAATTGCGATCATAGAAGTTAAATTATTGAATATAATAGAAAAAAATTGATATATTGACTTTAACGTAAAAAGGCTGAAATGTGCCGGCAACAAGGAGCGGGCATGCAGCGCTATTTCACGATAACCCAGCTGACACAGGAATTCGACATCACGACGCGTACCCTGCGTTTCTACGAGGCGCAGGGCCTGGTGTTACCTCAGCGACGTGGCAGGCAGCGTCTGTATACGCCAGGGGACAGGACGCGCATCAAACTCATCTTGCGTGGCAAACGGCTCGGTTTTTCCCTGAATGAAATCAAGGAAATGATCGAGATGTACGGCAGCTCACCGGGTGAAACCGGACAATTGCGACTGCTGCTTGAGAGAATCGCGGCGCGTCGAGAGGAACTGCTCGAAAAACAGCGGGACATCGAGCTCACCTTGCTCGAACTCGACGAGGTGGAAAGCGGTGCGAAGGCGCGCATGAGCGAACTGCATACCAAGATGCATGTGGAGACCGAGTGATGGATCTCAGCCCCAGAGACCCTGCCTGGAACACCCGCGTCAGGAACAGTTTCGCTGCTCAGGACTTCATGACGCATCTGGGTGCGGAACTGGTTCATCTTGCACCCGGTGCTGTTGATATTGAACTGAAGATGCGCCGGGAACTGACACAACAGCACGGTTTTTTCCACGCCGGGGCAACATCTTCGATTGCCGACAGCGCTGCCGGTTATGCTGCGCTTTCCCTGTTCGCTGCGGACTTCGGTGTTCTCACCAGCGAATACAAGATCAACCTGCTGAACCCGGCGAACCAGCCAGTCCTTCTGGCCCGGGGGCGTGTGGTCAAGCCGGGCAAGACACTGACCATTGCCAAGGCAGATGTCTACGGGCTGGACGACGGTCTGCAGGTTCATGTGGCAACCGGCCTGTTCACATTGGTGAGCGTTTCCGGCGTAAAGGATTGATCGATGTCAGACATCTTGGTTCGAAAACTGGCGCGGACAGACAAGTCGGCGTGGCAGCAACACTGGGCAAGCTACCTGGAATTCTATCAGCAGGATCTCTCGCAAGAGGTGACCGACGGCCTGTTCGAGCGGCTGCTTTCAGCCGGGTCCCATAGTGCATTTGTCGCGGAGAAGCAGGGCCGGATTGTCGGGTTTGTCCACTTTCTGTTTCATGACAGTTCCTGGTCACTGGATCAAGTCTGCTACCTTGAGGACCTCTACGTGAGCCCGGAGGTCAGAGGGGGCGGTGCCGGCCGAAAACTCATCGAGACCGTCTACACTGCAGCGGATCTGGAGCCTGGCGCAAACGGCAAGGTCTACTGGCACACAAATCAAGACAACAAACGCGCTCAGATGCTCTACGATCGAATCGGCGAGCTGAGTGACTACATTCGCTACGTACGTTCCTGAGGACAGGTGCGTCGGGAGGTAAGATTATGATTCGCAACGATTTTCCCGGTTTCAATTTCGACCTGGGCGAAACCGCCGACATGCTTCGAGACACGGTTCGTTCCTTCAGTCAGGACCGGATTGCACCGCTCGCCGAAAAGATTGACCGCGAGGACTGGTTCCCGAGGGAAATCTGGCCGGAAATGGGTGAACTCGGCCTGCACGGCATAACTGTTGAGGAAGAATGGGGTGGCTCCGGACTCGGATATCTGGAGCATTGCATTGCGATGGAGGAAGTCAGCCGTGCGTCGGCCTCGGTCGGACTGAGCTATGGCGCCCATTCCAATCTTTGCGTCAACCAGCTGCGACGCTGGGGGCGCGAAGACCAGAAAAAACGGTATCTGGAAAAGCTGATCACCGGCGAACATCTCGGTGCCCTGGCCATGTCTGAACCAGGGGCTGGATCCGATGTCGTGTCGATGAAGCTGCGCGCCGAAAGGAAAGGCGACCGCTACGTTCTCAACGGTTCCAAGATGTGGATTACCAACGGTCCCACCGCAGACACGCTGATCATCTACGCCAAGACCGACCCGGATGCGGGCCCGAAGGGAATTACCGCATTTCTGGTCGAAAAGGACTTTCCCGGATTTTCCGTTGCGCAAAAGCTCGACAAGCTGGGCATGCGTGGCTCCGATACCGGTGAACTGGTTTTCCAGGACTGCGAAGTGCCGGAAGAAAACGTTCTTGGAGAAGTGGGCAAGGGTGTCAACGTCCTGATGTCGGGTCTCGACTATGAACGCGCCGTGCTCGCAGCCGGATCCGTCGGCATCATGCAGGCGGCCATGGATGTTGTTGTTCCTTACGTGCATGAGCGCGAGCAATTCGGGCAGCCGATAGGAACCTTCCAACTCGTGCAGGGCAAGGTTGCGGACATGTATGTCACGATGAACGCCACCAAGTCCTATGTGTATGCGGTTGCAAAAGCTTGTGACCGAGGAGAAACAACACGAGAGGACGCTGCCGGGGCTATTCTCTATGCTGCGGAAAATGCAACGAAGGTCGCGCTCGACGCCATCCAGCTTCTCGGCGGCAACGGCTATATCAACGAATACCCCACGGGACGTCTCTTGCGCGATGCCAAGCTTTACGAGATCGGGGCAGGGACGTCGGAAATCCGCCGGATGCTGATCGGGCGGGAGATCTTCAACAAAACCACATGATCTGAAAACAAGCCGGATTTTACCGGAGCATCGGGCAGAGGAAACGATGGGAGCGAGCTGGTTTTCGCAAAAAGTGGAAAAACGGACCAGTCCACTGGACGGTACAGGACTTTTTGCAAAGGAGAAGATCAACGAAGGTGAACTGGTTGTCGTGAAGGGTGGGCACATTTTTGACCGCGTTGCCCGCGATAGGCTGGCAGAGACGCTTGGTCCTGCTGAAATTCAGATAGGTGACAATCTTTTCATCGGACCTCTGACGCCGGAAGAAAGAGTGGGCTCGATGATGCATCTCAATCACTCCTGTGATCCCAATGTCGGGATAAGGGGACAGATCTGTTTTCATGCCATGCATGTTGTTGAGCCCGGAGAAGAACTGACTTTTGACTATGCGACCGGCGACGACGATGACTGGACAATGATCTGCCGATGCGGGTCGGCGAGGTGCAGGAACGAGATTTCCGGCAAGGACTGGAAAATTGCCGAGCTTCAAAAGCGTTATGAAGGCTGGTTTTCCGAGTATCTTCAAATGAAGATTGAAAGATCGGCGGGTGTGTCGTGAAGCAGAGCAGACTGAATGAAAAATTCGACGCGAAATCACCTGCAGGTGCCGACATCCGCTTCATCATGGATGGTCCGACCGGCAACATGATCCATTCGACGGTGCCCTCGGGGCAGATCAATCGTGCGACGCGGCACAAGACAGTCAGCGAATTCTGGCATGTGCTGGATGGCAAAGGACAGATCTGGCGATCTGACGATCACAGCGAGAGCGTTGTCGATCTCTTGCCAGGTGTTTCGATCGACATTCCCGTCGGAACCGCATTTCAGTACCGAAGCGACGACAAGGAAGTCCTGAAGTTCATCTGCATTTCGATGCCACCCTGGCCGGGTGACGACGAAGCTGAATTTGTCGATGGCATCTGGCAGGCAACTGTTACTGCCTAGTTTGTGACTTTTTCAGATGTATTGATCTCCACGCGCGAACTGATCGTACTGACAGAAGTTGGTATTCGGGAACAGACATGTCTTCAAGAATTGCCCTGGTCCTAGGTTCTACAGGCGGTATCGGTTCCGCGGTCATGCGATCCCTGAATTGCTCCGAGCAGTATGATGAGGTGATAGGTTTCAGCCGCTCGACGGTTCCCGGCCTTGATCTGCTCGATGAAGCATCTGTCGAGGCATGCGCCAACCGTGCCAGATCAATTTCAGGCTCAGTAGGGCTGGTTTTCGATGCGACGGGTGCGCTGACGCCCGAGGGAGTGCGTCCGGAGAAAAGCATGCGCGAGATTGATCCGGTCAATTTCGCAAGGTCATTTGCGATCAACGCGATCGGTCCCGCGCTGCTCATGAAACACTTTCTCCCGATCCTCCCGAAGGAGGACAGAAGTGTTTTTGTGACTTTGTCGGCGCGAGTGGGATCGATCACCGACAACAGGGCAGGTGGCTGGTATGCCTACCGTGCTGCCAAGGCGGCGCTCAATCAGGTCGTTCGAACCGCAGCGGTGGAACTGGCACGAAAGAAACCCAACGCCATTTGCGTTGCCTTGCATCCGGGAACAGTTCGCACGTCTCTGACGGACGGCTTTTCCAAGACTGGTCTTGAAGTTCAGGAGCCGGAGGCTGCTTCGCAGAGCCTCCTGTCGGTCATCGATGGACTTTCACCGGAACAGTCGGGTCAGTTTTTCGATCATCGGGGCGCTGTCATTCCCTGGTAAGCCGGTTTTTGTTGAAGGCTTGTCTTTTTCTGACAGTAATAGAGAACCGAGCCGAATGATCCCGGCGGCGCAGTCTAAAGGTGGCTTGCATGACAGATCCGTTTTTTCATCCGGTTTCCGGGTTTGAATTACCGCGCTTTGCAGGAGTACCGACCTTCATGCGATTGCCGCATGTCGGGTTGGACGATCGGAGGATTTCAAAGGTGCAGATCGGCCTGATCGGGACGCCATGGGATGGCGGGACAACGAACAGGCCAGGTCCGCGTCACGGCCCACGGCAGCTGAGGGACGCTTCGACAATGATCCGCGCCCAGAACGGAGCGACCTGGGTAAGACCGTTTGAACTCGTTAATTGCGCCGACCTGGGCGATGTCGGCCCAAACCCGGCAAGTGTCGATGACAGCCTTGATCGCATGACGGCGTTCTATGACGAAATCGTCGCAGCCGGTATCGTTCCACTGTCCGCAGGTGGAGATCATTTGTGTTCGCTGCCGATTCTCCGCTCGCTCGCAAAGACAAAGCCGCTCGGAATGATTCACTTCGACAGCCACACCGATCTGTTCAACAGTTATTTTGGCGGCATGCAATACACGCACGGCACACCATTCAGGCGGGCCGTCGAAGAAGGATTGCTCGATCCCGCCCGCGTTGTTCAGATCGGCATTCGTGGTACCGCCTATGACTTCGAAGACCGTGACTTTGCGAAGAGCGTCGGCATCAGGGTCATTCCGATCGAGGAATTTCATGAGCGCGGTGCGGAGGATGTCATGGCTGAAGCCAGGGAAATCGCGGGAGACGGCGAGACATATGTTTCCTATGACATTGATTTTGTCGATCCGGCCTTTGCGCCCGGAACCGGCACACCCGAAGTGGGTGGACCGAATTCCTATCAGTCAATTCAGGTCGCTCGCATGCTGGATGGCGTGAATATCGTGGGAGCGGATCTGGTCGAAGTTTCACCGCCATTCGATCAAAGTGGTGGCACCGCGTTTCTTGGGGTCTCCATCATGTTCGAGATGCTCTGCAACATGGCGCTGGCTGTGACGAAACGCGAAAACTGACAGAACATCAAGGCGATAGTCCAATCATGACCGGCGAAACAGATCTGAAAATCCTGATATCCCACATGCGGCCGATGCTTGATCCGGAGCCGTATGTTTTTTGTACCTTTGCCAACAGGACATTTGAAGACCTGGCTGAATATGCACCGGTCGCCCTCTTTGCCGAGACAGAAGGAACGACCGCGATCCTGCCCGTTGAAATGGCACGCGAATTGGGACTTGCGGATGCCGAATGGTTTCGGCGGATCACGTTAACCGTGCACTCTTCACTGGAGGCGGTCGGCCTGACGGCTGCGGTTGCCGGCGCACTTGCGCAAGAAGGGATTTCAGCCAACGTGGTCGCCGCATTTTTCCACGACCATGTTTTCGTGCCCGCGGAAAGGGCCGATGAGGCGCTTCAGGCCTTGCGAAACATTGCAGACCTGGACAAATAAGTCTTTGCGCACGATCGGCCCGAGTTCCGGTTTTTCTCTTGCAATTTGTCCTCTGGCTTCCCATTCCTAAGCATGAGCAGTCAGGGGTTTTAAGCATGCAACGGGTCAAGCGACGTCTGTCGGCCATCATGTGCGCGGATGTTGCACAGTATTCCAAGTTGATGGAGCGGGACGAAGACGGGACACTGGACCGGCTGAAAGCTTACCGGGATGTCATGTCCGCGCTAACAGACAGACACAACGGCCGCATCGTCAATACCTGGGGTGATGCCGTCATCATCGAATTCGTTTCGGTGATTGAAGCGGTTCAGTGTGCGGTCGATATTCAAAATGAACTGTCGCTTCGCAACGCGGATCTTCCGGACCTCAACAGGATGGATTTTCGCATTGGAATCAATCTCGGCGACATCATGGTCGAAGGCGATGACATTTATGGTGATGGTGTGAATGTTGCCGCGCGACTTCAGGAACTCGCCCCGCGTGGCGGGATCATGCTGTCGCAATCTGTCTATGATCAGGTCAAAGCGAAGGTTGCACTCGGTTTTGATCCGCTTGGTCCGCAGAAGGTGAAAAATGTCAGCGATCCCGTTGAAACCTACTCCGTCAGGCTCGGAGGCCGAAACGCGCCGGCAGAAACTCCTGGTGAAAAAGACGATGGAGGTGAGGGCGGCGATGCTGGGCATGACGCAGCCGGCCCGGCGAGCTGGGACAAGGACACCCGCGCCGTTGCGAATGGATTTGAACAGGCGCGACGGTGGTTGCGTGCGCAGCCTCGCCGCGTGAGAACGTGCGTTTTCATTATCGGATTGTTTTTCGTCCTGAACCTTCTGACGTCGGGTCTTTCGACCCTCTGGTTTGTGTGGCCGTCGCTTCCGTTTGCCGTGATGCTGGTGTGGCATTTCGTTGTCGGACGCAAGGGTGCTTCTTTTCCGGACACCCCCCGGCACGAAGAATAACCAGCGCGCATGGACCCTTGTTCCCGATTTGATAACTCTTATCGCGCTATTCAGATTTTCAAGGTTTGCGAGGAACCGCCACTTCGCTTACACATGGACCAAACAGGCATGGCGTTTGTCTTTTCGCCAGTCTTTCAATCAGCCGGCCCGGCCGGTGCAACAGCCAAGGGAGCTTAATCCTGCGCATGAAAAACTATTCGACCCCGGTGCCAGCACGCCTCGACGATGACGATGAGGACAAATCCAAGGGCCAGCCGTCAATTCAGGTCGACAAGCACCTGTTTGAAGCGCGAACTGTTCTGATTACCGGACCAGTGAGCCAGGACATGGCGCGCGATGTTTGTGCGCGCCTTCTGGCCCTTGCACAGGTCTCCAATGATCCGATCACGGTGATCGTTTCTTCTCCGGGCGGGCACGTTGAATCAGGTGACATGATCCATGACACGATCAAGTTCATCGCACCCGAAGTGCGCATTCTCGGCATGGGATGGGTGGCAAGTGCCGGTGCATTGATCTACGTGTCAGTTCCCAAGGACAAGCGGTTCTGCACACCCAATACCCGCTTCCTCCTGCATCAACCGTCCGGTGGAGCCGGCGGCATGGCATCGGATATCGAGATCCAGGCCAAGGAAATCATCAAGATGCGGGATCGACTCAACAAGATTTTCGCCGATGCGACCGGTCAACCGATTGAACGAATTGAAAAAGATACGGACCGCGACTACTGGATGAGTCCGGAAGAAGGCATCGAATACGGCCTTGTGGGCAAAGTCGTTACGAGTGTCGAAGAACTGGGCTGACAATCGTCCATTTCGAGAACAAAACGCCGGCGCTGGATCGCCGGCGTTTTTGTTACGAGATACTACCGCGCGCTGTTAAGCGCTGATGAGTTCCTGCTCAACTGAATAGACCATGATCGGGTCGACAGGCCTCGGATCCAGAACCTGGGGCTGCAAGGCGTCCATCAAACTGCGGAACTCGGCTTCATCATTTTCATTTCTGCTGCCGGCAAAAAACACGACGACCAGGTGGTCGACAAAACGCTCGTACACATCCGTGCAAGTACAGATGGGTGACAGGAGTTCACAAACCGGCTTGCCGTCGTAGAACGGGGCTCCACCGGCAAGAAAGATCAGGAATTCGGTCAGGTCGTCGGAGTGCTCAAACTCCTGCCGGAACATTGTGACATCGAAACAGGGGTCCTGCTCCAGCCGCGCCTGCAAGCGTGGCATTGATCTGACGACCGCTTCGCGTCCACCGAGTTTCATATAGAGTGTCATTTGGATACCCTCGACTGTGCCTTTCAACGATGAACACAGAATGCCGCAGTTCCGTTCACGCCCCTGTGACCTTGATCACGGTTATCACCTTTGTGAAAACCGACAATTATAACTCACAGCAAAAATGAGTGTTTATCCTCCGCGTGATTGACCCGATTGTGGGAAAACTGCGGTAGCATCGCCGCATATTGTTACGTTCGAATTACAGATTTGTTTCGGTAATGTGGTCGTCGAAATCTCGAATAAAAGTGAGCATATCGCGAAAAATTGTGTATTATTTTTAATATTGATAAGCGTGAATTTGCACTTGGGGGAATTATTTCCTTGAAGTCTTTGTTGGAAAACTTTTTTTGGAAGTTCTGTTTCCGTGGACAATTTGGCCTTAATATCGTCTACTTTAAGATACTCATATTTTTGTTGAAAAATGAACATTGTGAGCTAATTTCATGTTTTTTTATCTTGCAAAAGTCGGATATTTTTTTATCCAGCCTTCCAACTTTTTCATTGTACTTGCATTGCTCGGATTGTCAGTTGCCGCACTCGGCATCCGACGAAAAACCGGTATCCGCCTGGCGTGGTTCGGTGTTGTAGCGTTGGCTGTGTGCGGAATTTCCCCGGTGGCCAACTGGATCATCCTGCCGCTCGAAGAGCGGTTTCCACGACCTGCGAGCGTTGAGGGATTTGATGGAATCATAGTGTTGGGTGGCGCCGTCGATACCATTGTCACCGGAGCACGCGGGGATACGGCCCTGACGACCTCCGGCGAGAGAATCACCATTACTGCGCGGTTGGCTTCCCAGATTCCGAAAGCCGTCGTGATTCATACCGGGGGGCAGGGCTTCATCGTCGCATCACAGGCGACGGAAGCAGAAGGGGCTGCCAGATTGTTCGAGGACTTTGGTATTCCGGCGGACAGAATCATATTGGAGGACGAGTCCAGAAATACCTGGGAAAACGCCGTACTAACAAAGGTGCTTGTCGATCCCCAACCTGAACAAAGCTGGCTTCTGGTAACGTCCGCCTATCATATGCCAAGAGCAATGGGTGTGTTCGAAAGAGCAGGCTGGACCGGCCTGACTGCCTATCCAGTCGACTACAGAACTCGTGGAGAAGCGGACAGAATGCTTGGATTTTCAGGCGTTTCGAAAGGGTTGAGACGGTTTGATCTGGCATTCAGGGAGTGGATTGGGCTTGTTGTCTACCGGTTGACGGGGCGCAGTGCGTCACTTTTTCCAGAACCAAAATCCTAAAGATTGCCCGGACCGTTAACACTGGTTGAAAATCACCTCTTTTACTGTCCGCCGCAATGCACCATATGATGGGTGTCTCAGGGAACAAAAAGGACGTGGGCAGATGGTCCTTGAAGCGCCGATAGTCGCGGCAGACGTCGTACAGTGGCTCTATAGTGATGCGTCGTATCTCAATGATACGCTGGAAATTGTAAGTGAAATGGCTGCGCGCCTGCGCGACGGGAATGTGCCGGTCGACAGGGCGACCACCGGAATATGGGTGGTGCACCCCAACGTGAGGGCTGAGGCTTCGGTCTGGGCCAGTGACGGTACCAAGGAGCTTCGGCTCTATACTGCCGACAACAGCTCGGACGAAGACTATCAGAGCAGTCCGATCCAACGCGTTCATCAAACCAATCAGGCCGTGAGGGTCCGGATTTCGGAGCGTCCCGAGGAAGCAGAAGAGTTTCCGGTCGCGATTGACCTCCGCGATGAAGGGTACACGGACTATATCGCGTTGCCGATGCCGTTTTCGGACGGATCAGTCAAGGTCGCAAGCTTTGCGACAAAGGCGCCGGGCGGCTTCAGGTCCGGGCACATAAGCGTTTTTGAATCCCTTATCCGTCCGCTTGCACTGGTGTGTGAACTGAAAACGCTCCGAAGAACCGCGGAAACGGTTCTGGATACCTATGTCGGTCCGCGTGCAGGGTCGAAGGTTCTCGACGGAACAACGCGACGCGGACAGGGAGAGTGGATCAAGGCCGTCGTAAGCTTTGCCGATATTCGCGGTTTCACGCGATTGTCCAACACGCTTCCTGCCGACATGATCGTGAATCTCCTGAACAAGTATTTTGGTGCCATGACTGCCGCTGTCGAAGCGCATGGTGGAGAAGTGCTCAAGTTCATCGGCGATGAAGTCATGGCAATCTTTCCCTACGAGACCGAAGAGGAAGCTCGTGATGCCGCCAGGCGTGCTCTGCTTGCAGCGCGCGACACGCTTGGCCGGATTGACGAGATAAACCGGTCTAACAAATGTGCCCAGACCCCAGACTTGAGCGTTGGAATTGCACTGCATGCCGGTGATGTCTTTTTTGGCAATGTCGGCAGTGAAACACGGCTCGATTTCACGGTGGTCGGTCCGGTCGTCAATCTGGCAGCCCGAATTGCGGAGCTTGCCAAGGACCTTCATCGTGAAGTTCTCGTCTCCGACGCGTTGTCAGACATCATGGGCTGCCGGTCGGGCCTGTTCGGTCGTTATCAGGTCAAGGGCTTTGACGATCCGGTTTCGGTCTACTCGCCTGATTTGCTCAGGGGGGACAAGCTGGGATACTGCCCTGACAACACGGCAACCCTGGCACGGGACACGAACTGACGACGCAGCAATACCAGAAGCACGGCCAGCGTGGTGACGGCAAAGACGAACGGGCCCGCGAACCAGCCAAGAAATCCGATTGCAAAGAACAGGGCTCTTTGGCCGCGATTGAAATGACGGCCGGCCAATACATTCAGGTCTCCGGCCTGAACGGCCATTTGCCGAATTTCGTTTTCACCCGCGTTACCCTTCTCCGGAACGGCGCCCATGACAATGCTTGCATAGTTGAAGAGCCGGTAGGCCCAGCCGAATTTGAAGAAGCTGTAGGCGAATATGAGCATCAGCCCCAGGACCTTGATTTCCCACAGCGCACGGCTGCTTTCGACCGGTATCGATAAATCGCCTGTAATCTGAACGATGCGATCGGTCGCTTCCAAAAGGGCAAAACCGCCTCCAATCGCCAGGAGCGCTGTAGATGCGAAAAAGGCTGTTCCCTGTTGCAGTCCGGTCATGATGGAAGTGTCCATGATGCGAACCTCGCGCTTGCTCATGGCGATCATCCAGCTGCGGCGGTACTCGTCCATCACGGCCGACAGGGTTCTGGTGCGCAGGGGACTGATGTCGACAATCAGGCTGAAGCCGAACCAGGCGACAAGAAACCACGCGGCCGCGGCAAGGTCCAGGTACGAAAGTGCGTGCATGCAATGACTTTCTTTTGGAAACAGAGCATTTTTAAAAAAGCATAAGCGGCTGAAAAAATGAAAGGTTTTCTGATCTGCAAAATTCAGGGGGCAGCTGCTCCTTTTTTGCGCTTGCGAAATGGTAAGGGATCGTTTACCTCCTCGCCCCAATGGCGCCATATTTCAATTTGCAGGGGACTGGCGTCTGAGAACAAGTGTAGGGATTTTATGGACGAAAACGTGCAGAAGTCTTGTTGGAGCGTCACTCTTTGGACTGTCGCTGCGGTAGGTGTCGCCTTGACGATGATCCTCCTTTTCAACGATGTGGAAAGCGCGCAACAAGCCGTCGCCGTTGCCAAGTAGGGCCAGCGGGACGTTTTCAATTGAAGGCGCAGCCGATGGCTGCGCCTTTTTCATTTCAATAACGATTTGAAGCACCTGCAGCGTTTGTCGGTGAAGAGTTCGGCCGGTTCTGTGGACCGAATACCTGACGAAACTCCACTTGGCGAACCACCGTGCGATTGCCGGGATAGCTGATCAGGAGCCCGGAATACCCCGAATTTCCGAATGGCATCATCACCAAACGTGCCAGTCCGAGGCCTGGCCAGGCCAGTTCCGCACCCCAGGACCGGATATCCCGCGGTGACCGGGACGGGTTCATTGCTTCAATATCGCTCCAACGCAACAGACTTGTGCCGTCAGCATCCCAGGCGAGGCCGGCAAGACCCGCCTCAAGAGGAAAGAGTTCTATTCTCGTGCCGCCGAGGGTCAGGATCAGCGATCCGTCGGCCGGAAAACCAATGTCGACCGTGCCGCCACGCAAGCCTGTGTCAATTGCCGTTCGGGTCCCATCGAGCTCCATGAAGGCAGCGGTATTGATGATCCTGAATTGGCCCACCGGCAATTCCGGCTGGGCACTTGTCGGGATTACCAGAAACAGGAAAGCCAGAATGGTCGCGATATGTCTTGCCATGCACGGCTCCAGATTGGTGTCTGGCGCACGATAGTGTGTGACATATTTAGAAAGTGTTGGCCCGAAAACCCGTCCGGCAGCACTTTAGATTGCTGCACCGCTATCTCGACAGAGAAACGACCATGTCCTCGATCGTGGAATGCTCCGGTTGCCAGCCAGTTGCCCGAGTTGTCTGGGTGACATCGATTTTTTGGGACAACGCGTAGCCGGCGCTCCAGTCCGTTTCCGGAGGAACGGCCTTGTCGGCCTGAACCGTCTCGATTTCCAGGGGAAGACCGTGCCGGGCCGAAATGTGGGCAGCCAGATGACGAACCGAAATGCCGGATATGCTGCTTGCCATCAATGTCATTCTGAAACGGGCCTGCTGGAGTGCCAGAACGTAGAGCGCTGCCAGATCGTTTGCCTCGACAAGCGGCCAAAGCGTCTCGGAGGCCGCGCGCGTCCTGAATGGTCTGCCTGCCTTCAATGCTTCCGTCATTTCGGCGATCGGTCCTGATAACCTGCTGCAGACGAGAGCCGGGTGGATCACCACAAGGTTCAGATCCGTGCCATGAGACAGCGTCCGGATGGTTTCCGCCATGAACCGGAAGGCAGGGACGGGGGCAAACGGGGTTTTTTCCGTGATAGCCTGTGTGCCCTGTACGGAAGGAAAGAGCCAGATGCCTCCGGTATAGATAAGCTTCAGGGGTTGTTTCCTGTGCTTGGTGGCCTGCTTGAGCGCCAGCATTGAAAGTCGGTCGATCCTGCCCATATCCGCTGCAAATGTCGCACCGGCGTGTATGACTGCGTCGCAGGACGCTGCCCTGCCAACCCAACTTTCAGCGTGTTTCAGGTCACCGGGAAAAGCGCTGGCACCGAAGGCGCGCAACTTGTCGGAGGCGGCCTCCGATCGCGCCAGAGCGATGACACGAGCCCCCTTGGAAAGCAACTCTTTGACAACGGCTGCACCGATCAGGCCGGTGCCACCGGTTACGAACACGTCCATCTTAAAAGAGAACCCTGTTCGCGAGTTGCACGCAAGTTTTTGATGTGGGGAGCTGTGCACAATCCACCGACGTTTACTCATGCCAGCTTGACCTCGCGGACAGGCCTGCTAGGTCAAAAGAATGACGTTGCATCTGGTGAAACTCTGTGTCGGCGCCGACAGCGCGGAATCTCTTCAGGCCTCGATCGATTTTCGGATCGAGCAGGCCCGGTTGGCAGGGCTGGAGGAAGTAACGACACACACCACGCGCATGGTACCGACCCGCAAGGACGATTTGCTGGAAGGCGGTTCGCTCTATTGGGTGATCAAGGGCAAGATCCAGGTTCGCCAGCATCTGATCGATATTCGTCCCTTCACGGACGATGCCGGTATCAAGAGATGCGACCTCGTGCTCGAACCAAGGTTGATCCTCACGAGATACCAGCCGAGGCGCCCGTTTCAGGGATGGCGGTATCTGAAAGCGGATGACGCACCCGCGGACATGCGGCTGGCCGCGGAGACCAAAGCCATGTCGGACGCCATGCGCCAGGATCTGACGGAACTCTGTCTGTTATGATCGCACGAAGGCATCCAACTGCCTGTTCATGTTTCGTCGTTGGGTGTCAGCGCCTTACCCAAATGCTTGAAGAGCTGGTCAAAATCCGGCCACGACCGGTCCAGTTTGGGGTTTTCCTTCTTGCGGGTCATGGAAAGCTGGGAATAACCGTGAACCAGTGACCAGACCAGGACCTCTATGTCTTCTTTCGGTGTCCCGGAGGCGACAAAAGGTGCACAAGCCTCCCGGAGGATGGCGTATGCGCGTTCGGAGTGCGAGCAGAAAAACTCGTCGTTCTCATTGAACTTCTGTCCGGAAAAGATGAACAGAAACAAAGCTGGATGATCCGACGCATAGTCGATGTAACCGTGGCAAATAGCCGACAGGCGATCCCGGGGGGAAGGACCGGCCCCGTCCAGCCGTCTTGTCATGGCCTCGCAAAACAGCTGGAAGCCACGCGCAGCGATCGCAGTCGAAAGGCCCATTATGTTCTTGAAATGATAGCCGGGTGCGGCGTGTGAAACTCCCGCCATCGTAGCACATTCTCGGAGCGAAAGGCCGTCTGCCCCCCGTATTCGCAGAAGCTCGACACCAGCGTCAATCAGTGCCGTTTTCAGGTCGCGATCCGTTCTTCGCCTTGTCGTTTGTTCATCCACCATGTGACCGTCTTCATCGATTGTCTTGACAGTGTCAAGTTTGATCTTATCTTGACACTGTCAAGTTGGAGGAGAGGCATGGAACAGGTTTTGAAACTAACAGGCCGTATTGCGTTCTGGGCAAGCGTCATTTCATCGGTTCTTGTGGCGCTTGTTTCCTACAGGTTTGTTCCACTCGGCGTGGAAATCGCCATGGATTTCGTTTCACACAATTTGGCGGGAAACAGTCTGGCGCTCTTTGCGCATATCGCTGTCGCACCGGTTGCTCTCTTTCTGATGCCGTTTCAGTTCATGTCCGGATTGCGCCGCAAACACCCCTCGCTTCACCGTTGGGTTGGACGGATCTACGTTGCGGCGGTCGTGATTTCCGGTGTTGCCGGTTTTCAGCTGGCGTTTCATTCAACGGCCGGTGTTTTCGCGAGTGCCGGATTTGCTTCGTTGGCCGTTGTCTGGCTCTGGACAACACTCGGTGCGCTGTATTTTGCGCTCACAAGGCAGTTTGCCAGGCATCGCGACTGGATGCTCCGTTCCGCTGCCTTGACCTTTGCGGCGGTAACATTGCGTGTTTATCTGGGGTCATCGATGGCACTGGGCGCCGAATTTCAGGTGGCCTACCCGATCATCAGTTGGGCGTGTTGGATGCCAAATGCGATATTGGTCGAGACATACCTGCTGATGCGTGGCAGGCGAAGCTATCTGTTGGCCAATCAAACCAGGTGAATCGAAATCTCATCTAGTTTGGGATGAAGACAGCTGCTGTGCTTGCCAAATCAGACCGGCAGGCCCAATTTGAATGTATCGAGCGCAGCAGGGACGAATATGAATGGCGAAAACAGATCTGGACGCGACGGGGAAACCTGTCCGGAAAAAAGGCGATTTGCCTTCGGCCGCGTCCGATATCTCTGCCTTTCTTGAGAAAGCGAAGGAAATCGAGCCAAAAGCAGGGAGCGATGGCCGACTGATTTTTGCGCTCGACGCAACCATGAGCCGACAGCCGACCTGGGACAGGGCCTGCCACATTCAGTCTGAAATGTTTCAGGAAGCAGACCATATCGGTGGTTTGAAGATCAAGCTGGTCTATTTTCGCGGCTTTGGAGAATGCAGAGCGTCGCGCTGGTTCGAGCGCAGTGATGAGCTCGCAAAGGCCATGAGCCGGATCTCCGTTCAGGGCGGACGTACTCAGATCAGCAAAGTGCTTTCCGCGGCTCTCCAGTCAGCCGCGGACGACAAGATTGCCGCTGTGGTCTATGTCGGCGATTGTATGGAAGAAGATGTGGATATTCTTTGCGACAAAGCCGGACAACTCGGGTTGATGGGCGTACCGGTGTTCTTGTTTCAGGAAGGGCGAGACGCCATTGCGGAACAGGCGTTTCGCGAGATGGCACGCTTGTCCAAAGGAGCCTATTGTCCCTTTGATGCGGGGTCTGCACAGCAGCTTGCCGAGCTCTTGAAAGCGGTTGCGGTATTTGCAAGTGGCGGACACAACGCACTTGTGGCACTTGAACGCAAAGGCGGGCAGGGAGCCCGTCTGCTTCTGCAGCAAATCAAATCTGACTGATGTTTTATTTTCTTATCGGACTGATCCTGCTCACTGCCGTCATCTTGGGTGCGCGCAGTTTTGTTCAGGCCAATCCCGGCGATCTCGCCCGCCAGCTTCGCAAGTACGGCGGAATTCTTCTTCTTGCCCTGGGTGCTGTCTTCATGCTGACCGGGCGGTTCATGTTCGCAATACCGCTGATAGGGTTTGGTCTGTCTCTTCTTGGGGTTGCCGGTCTCGGTCGCCTGACAGGAAGCTACAAGCCGAACAAGGCATCAGGTCAAAGATCCAGGGTGCGAACTGCAATGGTCGAAATGGAACTGGATCACGATACCGGTGAAATGACCGGTCTGATTCTGGCAGGAGGTTTTCAAGGCCGCAGGCTGGACGAACTAAGCGACCAGGACCTGCTTTCGTTCTGGCAGGAATGTGGCCAGGACGAACAAAGTTGCAAGCTAGTCGAAGCTTATCTCGACCGCAGGCTTGCCGGATGGCGTGAACACTTCCAGTCTGATGGAACAGAGGGGCAGGGAAGCCCGACGAGCTCTGGCCCCATGACAGATGAGGAGGCCTACGAGATCCTGGGGCTTTCTCCCGATGCCGGGGACGCGGAAATTCGAGCCGCGCATCGCAGGCTCATGATGCGGGTTCATCCCGACAAAGGAGGATCCGGTTTCCTCGCGGCGAAAATCAACGAGGCTAAAGACACGCTTCTCAGAAGACATTGACGACATCCGTTACGCAGTTACTGATAGATGGCGAAGCAGGCGAATTTTGCCTTTTTCAGTGTACTGCAGGCCTTGCGGGCTGCGGTCTTGTTTTTGAAGCCAACAAAGCGCGCGCGGTAGAGCGTTTGTCCGTTGGCTTCAACGGGTTCTGTGTATGGTGAACGTCCACGAAGAGCCGCTCCCGTTCTGGCCTTGGCTTTCTTCAGAAGTGCAACGGCCTGGTTCTCGGTCTCCGAAGCGGCAATCTGCACCTGCCAGCCCGGTTCGATATCCGGCGTATCGCTGGTCGCAACAGTGACGGTGTCATCCTTCGACTGGCTTTCGACAACCGGCAGCGCGGTCGCCGAGGCTGCCGCCACTTTCACGTTCGATGCAGTAACTTCGGGCGCCGGGACCGTTTCAATCTTGACCGTCTCCACAGTGATTGTTTTCGCCGGGATCGGTCGGCCTTCACTATCTGGCTGGGAAGTGGTGCGTCTGGTCACATCTGCCCTTGCAGCGTCGAGCAGTGCTTTTTTCGAGACTGAATTCGTCGTCAGATCCAGATCAGGACTTTCACGGCGGATCGGCGGCAGCGCGGTTGCGACTGCGAATGTCTCGTCAAAACGCTGTTTGACAATCTTGGGAGGTATTGGAACCGCGTCTCCAAAACCCGGTACAGTTACGGGCTCGGTCTTGACTGAAGCTGTGGTGACGGAGGCAACGGAAGGTGTTGGCACTGGAGCAACGATCGGTTTTTCAGCCGCATTGAAGGCAAGAACCATCGGGGCTCCTGACGCAGGCTTCTGAGTGCTACCCGGCTTTTCTCTTGGCAATGGCGGTTGAGCCAGGGCCGAGGCAACAAAGATCGGTGCGCCGCTGCGCTTGGCTATCATGGGAACGGTTTTCTTGCCACGGCTTGCCTTGGACAGGTAGCGGCTGATCAGCTTGGTCATCTGGGCGTTTCTGGATGCACCGGACCTGCCGCCCATCACAACGGCAACAATCTGTCGGCCGTTCCGGTTGACCGAAGTGACGAGATTGAATCCGGATGCCCTGATATAGCCGGTCTTGATGCCGTCAACACCCTTCACACGGCCAAGAAGCTTGTTGTGGTTGCCGTAAGTGCGGCCGTTGTACTTGTAGGACCGCGTTTTGAAATAGCCGTAATACTGCGGGTAGTGTTCTTGAATCGCTCGTCCAAGGGTCGCCATATCCCGAGCAGTTGTCCGTTGGCCGGAATTCGGCAAACCATGCGGGTTCCTAAAGGTCGTCTTTTTCATGCCCAGTGACCGCGCCGTGCTCGTCATGCGTTGGGCGAACTTTTTCTCGGACCCGGAAATGTTCTCGGCAACAACTGTTGCGACATCGTTTGCGGATTTGGTCACCAGCGCAAGGATTGCGTCCTTGACCTTGATGGTTTTTCCCGGCTTCAGGCCCAATTTGGATGGTGGCCGGCCCGCAGCATACTTGGACACCTTCAGGCGGGAATTGAGCGTAAGGCGTCCGGCCGAGAGCTCTTCGAAAACCACGTACAGGGTCATGATCTTCGTGAGCGACGCAGGATACCGGTAGGCATCGGCGGATGATGCGTACAGTGTCTTGCCGGTTTTGGCGTCAACAACAATCCCGGCATATTTGGAATTGGCCATCGCCGTGACTGGAAGCAAGATCAGCAACACGCCGAGTACCAGAATTTTTCCCACTTGGGTTATCGCTATTGCATTGCGAAGAAAACGCATACCAAACACAGTTACTTTCCCAATCCGGGTCACACGTTTCTGATTGAAGCCTGGCGGGTTGGATCATTTCCCCCTGCGATTCAAGCCGCAGCTCCGTGATGTCCAGTTCATTTGATGGAATCACGGTTACAAATGTGTAAATGGATTGCCGAAAAAGCACTTTGAAAAATAGTTTTTTGTTAGAGTTAATCAATCGTTAATTCAAACCTATTCGTTTTTATAAGTATTATATTTTTATTCGATAATATAATTGCGAAAATCAGAAACAAAAATCTGAATTTTTTGTTAAGATCCTGATATATACTTTCGACTTCTGAGTCTTTCGAAAAATTGTTTTCCGAATACTCCTTGTATGTTTTTCCTGAGCGCCGATCGCAATTGAAAGTGCACTGACAGCAGGTCATCTCAACAGCAGATGTAAAATTCGCTGATTGAGATAGTGCGGATTAATTTCTCGTAATGGTTGTTTTTGCAGTGCAAAATCGCCTTGACAGTTATTGTGCAGTGCATTATGAGAATGCCCATAGGTAACGTGATGCGCGTGCCGACTGCCAACAAGGGCCTTTGATGCAGGCCTTGCGCGCCGGTTCGCTGAAAGAGGTCAGTGAAATGATGAACAATTTTGAAGAAATGCAAAAGCTGAGCAAGGACAACATGGATATCGCCATGGCATCCTTTGGTTCGATGAGCAAGGGCTTTCAGGCGATCGCAGCTGAAGTAGCAGATTACCAGAAGAAGTCCTTCGAGGAAGGCACCGCAGCCGTTGAAAAGCTTGTTGCGTCCAAGTCCCTGGACAAGGCGTTTGAAGCGCAGGCTGACTATGTCAAAACCTCGTACGAAGGTTTTGTCGGCGAAATGACCAAGATCAGTGAAATGGTTACCGACATGTCCAAAGATGCCTACAAGCCTTACGAAGGCGTGCTTGGCAAAATGGGCAAGTAAGCTTCCCTGCTTTTTCGCCACCTGGCGGATTACATTTCAAACCCGGCTCGATCGAGCCGGGTTTTCTTTTGTTTGTTGAGATATACCCAGTTTTTGCTGGTTCGGCCGGAACGAAATCGCGTTCACGTGGATTTGCATATCGTTCCCACCTTTTAATCGTTTTTCAGACACCTACATTCCCGATTAACGGTGACGCTTCTGTCGGAAACAGGAGGTTCACCCGAATCTTGATGAAATCGACCATTGCGCGAGCGCGGCTTGCGCGGCAGGATTACCGGTGTAGAAAAAGATATTCGCGGAGTTGAAATCTGCGGATTGAAGAAGCCGGACCGGTTTGCATGTGCGCTCCGGCCCGGGAAATGAAAACCGGTGTTTTCCGGAATGAGAGAAGCGATAGGTAAGGCAATGTCGGCGGGTTCAGATCAAGACAATGACGGTGGTGACGCCGGAACTGTTGTCGCTACCCGAACCAAAACGGTTACCAAGCGGCCCAACCTCTATCGTGTGCTGTTGTTGAATGATGACTACACTCCCATGGAGTTTGTCATCCATGTAGTGGAGAGCTTTTTCCAGAAGAACAGGGAAGAAGCGACCCGTATCATGCTTCATGTTCATCATCATGGTGTCGGCGAATGTGGGATTTTTTCCTATGAAGTCGCAGAGACCAAGGTAACCCAGGTGATGGATTTCGCACGCAAGCATCAGCACCCTCTGCAATGCGTCATGGAAAAAAAGTGAGGACCAACGCACGTGCCTTCCTTCTCGCGCAGTTTAGAAAAAGCCCTTCACCAGGCTCTGGCTTTCGCCAACGAACGGCAACAGGAATACGCTACGCTTGAGCATCTGCTGCTGGCGTTGCTCGACGATCAGGACGCAGCTGCCGTCATGCGGGCCTGTAATGTGGATCTGGATACGATCCGACGCAATCTGCTTGAATATATCGAGACCGAACTCGACAATCTGGTGACAGATAGTGATGAGGATTCAAAGCCGACGGCGGGATTCCAGCGCGTCATCCAGCGGGCGGTCATCCATGTCCAGTCTTCCGGCAGGGAAGAGGTCACCGGCGCCAACGTGCTGGTCGCAATTTTTGCCGAGCGCGAAAGCCACGCTGCCTATTTCCTGCAGGATCAGGACATGACCCGCTACGACGCGGTCAACTACATCTCTCATGGCATCGCCAAACGTCCCGGAATGTCCGACGCCCGTCCTGTCGAAGGTGCGGAGGAAGAGGACATTCTTCCAGGCTCTGAAGGGGAAAAGAAGCCCAGCCAGAAGACAGATGCGCTTGAGGCATATTGCGTCAATCTCAACGAAAAGGCCGTCAACGGAAAAATCGATCCCCTGATCGGCCGTGAGAGCGAAATTCAACGTACGATCCAGATTCTTTGCCGCCGGGCGAAGAACAATCCGCTTTTTGTCGGTGATCCGGGCGTTGGTAAAACCGCGATTGCTGAAGGGTTGGCTCACCGTATCGTCAACGAGGATGTGCCTGACGTCCTGATGGACGCGACCATCTTCTCGCTGGACATGGGGTCTCTTCTCGCCGGTACGCGCTACCGGGGCGATTTTGAAGAACGCCTGAAGCAGGTGGTCAAGGAAATCGAAGACTATCCGGGTGCGGTGATGTTCATCGACGAAATCCATACCGTGATCGGTGCCGGTGCCACGTCGGGCGGCGCAATGGACGCGTCGAACCTGCTCAAACCCGCGCTTGCTTCCGGCGCGATCAGGTGTATCGGTTCCACAACCTATAAGGAATACCGCCAGTTCTTCGAAAAAGATCGTGCGCTTGTCCGCCGATTCCAGAAGATCGATGTGAACGAGCCTTCGATCCCCGATGCAATTGACATCCTAAAGGGGCTGAAGCCCTATTTCGAGGACTTCCACAAGGTACGGTACACCAACGATGCCATCAAGACGGCGGTGGAACTGTCGGCAAAGTACATTTCAGACAGGAAGCTGCCTGACAAGGCGATCGATGTCCTGGACGAAACCGGCGCGTCGCAGATGCTCGTTCCCGAAGCCCGACGCCGGAAAACAATCGGCGTGAAGGAAATCGAGAACACCATTGCCACGATGGCCCGCATCCCGCCGAAATCCGTTTCAAAGGATGATGCAGAGGTTCTGGAAAACCTTGGAAAGGACCTCAAGCGTGTTGTCTACGGTCAGGACGCGGCGATCGAAACGCTGGCCTCGGCAATCAAACTCGCGCGCGCAGGATTGCGCGAGCCGGACAAGCCGATCGGCAGTTATCTGTTCTCCGGCCCGACCGGTGTCGGCAAGACGGAAGTGGCGCGGCAACTGGCGTCGTCGCTCGGTGTGGAACTGATCCGTTTCGATATGTCTGAATATATGGAACGGCACACGGTTTCACGTTTGATCGGAGCCCCTCCCGGCTATGTCGGGTTCGATCAGGGCGGCCTGTTGACCGACGGGGTCGACCAGCATCCGCATTGTGTCCTGTTGCTCGACGAAATCGAAAAGGCCCATCCGGACCTCTTCAACATCCTGCTGCAGGTGATGGATCACGGCAAGCTGACCGATCACAACGGAAAGCAGGTCGATTTCCGCAATGTGATCCTGATCATGACCACGAATGCGGGCGCTTCAGACATGGCTAAGATGCCTGTCGGCTTCAACCGCGTAAAGCGGGAAGGGGACGACACGGAAGCGATCAACAAACTGTTCACGCCGGAATTCCGCAACCGTCTCGATGCGATCATTCCGTTCGGCAACCTGCCGATGGAAGTTGTCTACAAGGTGGTCGAGAAGTTCGTCATGCAGCTTGAAGTGCAGCTTGCGGACCGCAATGTCACGTTCGAACTGACCGACGATGCGGTGAAATGGCTGGCGACCAAGGGGTACGATGACCGAATGGGGGCCCGCCCACTCGGCCGGATTATCCAGGAACACATAAAACGGCCGCTTGCCGACGAAGTTCTCTTCGGCAAATTGAAAAAGGGCGGTATGGTCAAGGTGTCGGTTTCCGAGGATGGCAAGGGCCTGCTGCTGGAAAGCATTGAAGAGCGGGCAAATCCGCCCAAACCGAAAGCCAAGACGGAAACCAAACCAAAACCGAAACGGCGCCGGAAGCCGGTTTCAAAGACATCGGCGGCCAAGCAGACAAAGTCCTCCGGCGGAAACAAGGGCGGCTCGTCGAAAAAGAGCCTCGTGCCAAAAGTGCCTTTGGCAGACTGAACAAGGCAACGCGATTGCAACGAAAGACCCCGGAGATGATCCGGGGTCTTTTGTTTTGACACAAACGGTCCTTTCACTTCTTTCACCAATTCCATTCGACAAATTTGTTGGTCGACTGTTCCAGGATTTCCTAACTTGGGACAAAGCCGAACAGGAGTTGAACATGTCCGATACAAAAGTTGCCCTGATTACAGCGGGCGGGTCCGGAATGGGCGCCGACGCTGCACGCCGCCTTGCCGCTGATGGCATGAAAGTCGCGATCCTGTCATCGTCGGGAAAGGGCGAGGCGCTTGCCAAGGAGCTTGGCGGATTCGGATACACAGGCTCCAATCTTGAGCCGAATAACTTGAAGTTGTTTGTTGAAAAGTCTCTGGAAACTTTTGGTCAAATTGATGTTCTTGTAAATTCTGCGGGTCATGGTCCCAAGGGTGACATCCTGGAAATTTCCGACGAGGACTGGCATCGGGGAATGGACTACTACCTGATGAATGTCATACGCCCGAGCCGGATCGTTGCCCCGGTCATGGCGGAGCAGGGAGGCGGGACGATCCTCAACGTCTCCACCTTTGCCACCTTCGAGCCCGACCCGATGTTTCCGACTTCCGGTGTGTTCCGTGCCGGACTTGCCAGCTTCACGAAACTCTTTTCCGACAAGTTCGCGGCGCAGAACGTGCGGATGAACAACATCCTTCCCGGTTTCATCGACAGTCTTCCGGAAAAGGATGACCGGCGCGAGCGTATCCCGATGGGCCGTTATGGCCGGTCCG